GGGGGGGGCCCCCCCCCGGCCCTGGGTTGTTTCCCCCCCCCCAGCCAGGCAGACGGGGGGAGCGCTGGGGTGGCCCTGTCTCTTGCCATCTGGGCCACAGTCCAGAAGCCCCCCACCCCCCAGCGATAGCTGCTCAAGGGGGGAAGCCTCCCCTCCCACGGAAAGCAACAGAGCCAGGCGGACGGAGGGGTGGAAGGCAGCCACGCTGGTTTGGCGCAGTTATTTTGGTGTCAGACGGGCTGGGGGGGGGGAAACAAGCCAGGGCTGGGGGGGGGGACACCAGCATGCCAGGGAGCCCAATTCCAGATTCCCCACGTCAGAGGAGTTCCCTGCCCCACGGTGGCTGCTCTGCAAAGCAGAGGGATGGGAGGCCTCCTCCGTGCCAGGCCAGGTGCCCATGACGCTGCCCACTTGCTTGCCAAATATGGAAGGAGTCTGGCACCCAGTCTGATGCCAGAAAGTCCCCCCCCCCCGTTTGTTTGTTTGGCTGAGTCTCCTTCCCCAGAAGAGAGGGGCGCAGGGTCCCCATCTGAACCGGCTACCTCTTTAAAGCTTGGCCCGTTTTCTGCTGGAAGGCGGGGGAGGACAGCCCGGGGGGGGGGGAAGGAAGCGGGCCCAGGGCGGTTTGCCTGGAACTGACCACACTGCTTGGCCCGGGAGCTAAAATTAGCCACCCGTTGCGCTGTGCACCAAATTGGGACAAAAACGCTCTCTTTGCTGGAAATGGAGTGTGTGTGTGTGTATGTGTGTGCTGGCGGCGCGTGCGTGCATGGGAGAGCAAGCTCTTCCCCTGGGCCAGGGGGCGAAGGAGAAGGGGGCAGCCCCTCTTTGGGACCTGCAGGCTTGGGAAACCGGGCCGAGGGACGAGCTCTCCCCCCAAAACAGGGACCTCGGAGCCCTTCGTGCTCAGAGCCCCCCGCAGTAACTGGACCAGCCCCAGAGTCTTTGAGACAGGAGGACCCACAGAGGGGACCCAAGTTATCTGAGTGTGTGTGAGTGAGATCTGGAAGAGGGGGGGTGAGAAGGAGGGGGCAGAGCCCTCCCCACCTCACAAGGGCCTGGCTTTATGTCCTGCGCGGAGGGGAGCGTGCTTCCCCCTCCCCTAGGAGCACGGGAGGAGTCCAGCCCTGCCTCCGGGCTCTCCTTCCCGCCCCACCCTCACACTCAAGGGGGAGCTGGGAGGGGCAGGGCATAGCAGGCATTGCCCGGGGATGGGGGGGGAGAGCTTCTTCTGCCCCACCAGCCCTGGAGGGAGGGCTGCGTGTGTGTTTGTGTGTGTGTGAAATTTCAATTTTCACAGCAGCCACCCACAGGAAGGTCTCTTCAGGGTCCAAATTGCTTGGGGGGGAGGGGGCGTTCCGAGAGATCCACCATCCAATCCCTTTAAGATTGGGGGTCTCCACCCTGGGCCAATTTCAGACTTGTGGACTTCAACTCCCAGAATTCCCAGCTGCTTGGCGGAGTTATTTTGTTGCCAGATGGGTAGAAAACACGGCAGGAGTGTGGGGGGGGGAGGGGGAAGGGAGACCCTGGCTTGGGAATTCTGGGAGTTGGAAGTCCACAAGTCTTCAAATGGTCAAGCTTGGAGCCCCCTTCCTTAAAGGGACCAGATGGTGGATCTCTTGGTGCCCCCCTCAACCAGTTTGAGCTGCAGGTCAGGACTGGAAGAGACCCCAGACCTTATTGTGCATTGCTGTTCTGAAATTTGAGCCCCCCCCCCCCCGTTCCACAGCCTTGTCTCCAGGGCTGGACTAGGGAATTCTGGGAATTAAACTCCACAAGCCAAGTTGGAGACCCCTGCTTTAATGTGATAGAGCCCTCTCCACCCCATCCCCCCTGGAAATTGCTCTCTGCCCCCCCTTAGAAAAAAGCCTTCAACCCCACACCTTCCAGCCCCAGGAAAAGGGAACACAGGGGGCTTCCCCCCACATCCGATCCATGGGGCAGACCCGGAGGGATGCAGCGATATAAGAAAACTCTCTTTTAGCAGAGAATAACCCGAAGCCAAGACTTCAAGTCTCGATTTTGGGTTATTCTCTGCTAAAATTTCCATGCCAATCCTTCGGAGGGGCGAAGCTGCCCAAATTCAAGGATCCAGGGGTGGCCGATCTTCCATGCCAATCCACTGGATCCCAACCTCATGCCCCTCCTCCGCCAACCCGCTTCCACCTGCTAGAAAAGATGTTTTAATTGGCCGATTCCAAATTTCTAAGTTTATAATAAAAGTTTATACGATGATGATATTGGCTGCCTGTTTTATGGACGAGGGGAGGCCAGATGGGACAGGGAAGCCCCACCCCCGATTTGGGGGAGGGGGGAGAAAGAGGAGAGGAGCACCACTTTTGTTCACAAAAATCAAAGAAAAACAAACACCCCAAACACACAATCTCGTGCGCACCGCACAAAAAAACCCAACAACTGGTTTTCCTAGGAAACGATCTATTTGCTAGACGGCTGCCAAGGATCGGACGTCCTGCTGACAGATCGTCAGTCGTCCATCAATGCCATCTCAAATTCCGGACGTTAAATGCAACTTTTTTTGGCGTTTGTGTGTGGAAATTTGGGCAAATTCTCACTTCTCGGGACAGAAGTCGGGGCGCCGATGGAAAAAAAGGGTGAATTTTAAAAATTGGGGTCACGGACGGCTTTGACGCCCGTCCTGATCCAGGGAGAGGAGTACGAGGGACAACCAAGCATTTGGGGGGCCCCCAGTGATCATCTAAACCAGGCGCCTGTTGAGGGTGGGTGGGGGAGGGGGCACCCCAAAACCGACTATTCTGGTATGGGCAATCTCAATACTTTGGGGGGGCTGTTGAGAAGATGTCCCTTTGGGGTTGGGGGGTGGGCTTTCTGATTTCATCCCACCCAATTGGGATCCTGGGGTTGGTGGGGGGTGGCAGGGGAGGGGCTTCGCAGGAAGAAAGAGACCCTCTGAGCGGGAAGGGAGCAACATGCAGCGGGAGGTAATTCAACAGGGAAAGTGCTCCACAGTTGCCCCCTCCTCAATCCTCAGACCCCCCACCCCCTTTGGCAAAAGGCAGGAAGTCAGTGCAACGAACGCAAGCCCCCTCCCCACTTGGGGTCCCAAAGACACCTCTGGGGTGGGGGCCACTGGAGCGAGGACGGGTATGTGTGTCTTCTGAGGAGGCCTCCGACTAATGGGAAAGCCGCGACGGCCCAGTTTGGGGGAGGGTCTCCTTGTGGGTAGGGGCTTGGCAGACCGGGCAGAGCCCACGAAGCATCACCAGGTGTGTGTGTGTGTCTGTGTCTGTGACTCCTCACAGCTGAGGGGCTCCTTCTGACAATGCCCCACTCTACAGGGAGCTTCCCCAAAACAACAGAGCCTCTGAGCATACCCAGAAGTTCTTCTTCGCCCCTCTGGAATCCAGATCCCCAGACTTCCCCCCCCCCCATACACACACACTATAAAACCCCTGCTCCGCCCCCCACCTCTCCCCCACCGTACCTCCTGAGCCACCAAGCTGGAGATGCGGACGGCCCGACGGACACGCGAGTCCTTGTCTTCCAGCTGTATCGGCTGCCGGTTTCTGCCCCGAGGCATCCCGGCCGGAGGGAAGGGGCTGGCTGCTCAGAGGGGGTGTTCGGAGGGTCCGTAGCTGCCCCGCCGGGCATTGCAGGCCGGAATGGGGAAGGGGGGCCGGCCCAAACAGCAGCCCGAGGACTCCAGGCAGCTGCATCTGGAAGGACCCTGGCTTCTTCGGAGAGCGGCTGGCAGAGGGAACAGCTGCCAGCTCCTTCCCTCCCCGCTCCCCTCTGCTCCGCCCTAAGAGGCACCCCCCCCCCCTCCTGGCTCCTCTGGGCCCCTCCCCTTACTCAAACCTTCCCAAAGATCTCTTGGCAGATGGGACAGACCGGGAGCAGCCGAGATGGGAGATGCCGGCTGCGGACAAGGGATGAACCCCCCCTCACCTTGCTCCCCCCAGTCCCTGGGGAAAACAGGGGTCACCAGCTCTGTTTTTTTTTGGGGGGGGGGTCTTTTCCCAGGCCCTGCAA